TATCACTTGAGCAGCAATACAGAAGACTTGTACTTGAACAGAAATGTACAGAACTTGAACCAAATGTGCAGAGGACTTGCATGAACAACAGGGGACTTGAACTTGAACTGAACTACAAGAAGTGGAACCTAAGTCCTAAAATGCACAATCAAGATCTAAATTCAAATACCAAATAACAATATAATGCACTCAAATAAATACAAGCTAACAGCAGGGGACTCGTGCCGAACATGACCTCGGTACACACAAACAATGAACAATGATGCAGTGGATCCCTACGACAGTCCCTACAAAATCAATGCACTGCATTTGTAAGCAACAACAGACAGTTATAAAATGCACGAGTACTACCTACATATAACAATCAAAGACCTATTACGCAAACAACAGACTACACTGGAGATTGAGATGGTGACATTGACAATTAATGAATAAATACCCCAAGACTTACGAATAACAAATGATTATCAAAATGAGTGACTATAAACGAGGAGCAATCATCAATACCTGAATATATGATACACAACAAATGATGTTGATAGATACAGTGGACTCCTACAATAATCCTTACAAGTTTACTTGTATATTGAGATGACAACACTGGCAATTGATAGCGGAAGACCCGTCCCCACAAACAATTACATCAAACCACCTGAGATTGATGAAATGTGGATATGATGCAGTAATAATGTCTCTTCTACGAACACTTCTAGGAGGTCACAATGAATGCAACGGGTCTCTGTAAATAAACACGAGCCACTTGTGGATAACAACAGTGGGTATATTGTAGGCACGACGAACCACTGTTGACACAAGTATAGACATCACTTACAACATTGGTGATTGAGATGCTGCAAAGTATGTCGGGTATGAAGACAACTCTATGTACGGAGAAGTACACCTCCCGGCAAAATGGAAGAGATGTTTCAGCAAATTCGAACTAAACTTTCTAGTGTTCCAAAACTTCTTTTTGGTTATATACTTAAGAAGAAAACAGTTCTGGCATCTACAAACACTGGTAATGACAAGTGCACCCATATACCTCGATTCATTTTGAAGGCCCGTTATTTGGTTATGGATGTTACATCCTGCAAAAGTCTGATGTACTATAGACCTTGAAAAGAGTTCTTGTCAAGGTAGTAGTCATGAATTTCAAGAAGGACCTCCCGATGAATGAGAAAAGGGAGTTTATATCAGAACAATAAAATATCTCATTGCAATCAAGTGATAACGCTACGATTCACCTATATCCAAATGCAGGAGATTCGTTAGTTTACTATAATCCAACTACAAAAAGAAATAAGTAGTGCACGATAGTCTACATGTACGAAGAAGCAAATAACTCAATCCAAAAGCTACTACAACACGCCACCGGATATTTAACACTTATGCAAGCGGATAGAAGACGTTTACAAATAATTTCAAAGTACTCCCCCGTACATGCACCGTAGTTGTACGCATATAGATACATAAGGGGTAAGTATAATCATACACCCGCATGGGCCCCGGCGAGCGTGTTATTAGTACACACATGACGTCTAGGGATGCTGCGCGGGTCAATAAATTTAAACCCGATCCTCCTAAGCAGGTAAAAATGAGTCAACAAGGTTTAATTATAAAATGCCCCCAAACACTCGCTTGGGCCCCGGCGAGCGTGTTATGAGTATACACGTGACGTCTAGGGTTGCCACGCGGGTCAATAAATGAACGTAGTTCGAGCCCGATCCTTCTATGCGGGTCGATAGGAGTCGACACGGCTCGAATTACCAAACAGATATACGGTCAAGATGTGAACCGTGATATCTGTTTTATACGTTCATATAAGGCCTTCAAGGCCTCCAATGAAGAAATTTCATGAACAAAAATATAAAGCCAACGACGAACCCAATCCTTTGTCCGCAAGATGACAAAGTCTACAAGGTTTAGTCAATAAAATAAGAATGACACCAAACACCCCGATAATGACCGTGTTGGATGAAGATCTCAACCGGAGGGGTTCACAAATACCTTTAAATTCCACCCAAATACTCACAAAGCCTCAAAACTCCACAAAATCCAAAATCCAAAATCTCAATTCCAAATATTTAAAATCAAAATTGGGTGACTCGTGGCCCTCTGAACTGAGTGGTTTTGCCGCCAAATAGCACCACGAAATACCGGTTATGACCAGAGTCAATACGTTCATTAATGACATCAAATCTTTGAAATATAAATCAATAGGATATGATCGATAGGGCACAAAGCCCTCTGTTAGCTAAGGTAGATTCAAATTTGTCCCTTTAGGCAAATACCCACCCCAGGTCTACAAGGTACCCTTGGACGAAGCAACCCATGGCTGCCGACAAGGATCCTTCTATCAGGTTGGGTCGACTACCTCCTTTGACTAAGTAGACCAGGAACCACGTTGGCCCGGGACGATGGAACCATCGGATCTTGATCGGGTCTATCATCCATTCCCCCACCATCCCCTTTAAGTGCAAGGTGGTGAAAATTTCTAATTTTAAATATCATATTTCGAAACATCCAAACTTTTCAAATTCCAAATACTCATGCTGCTACTATACACCTGATACTACGTATCTACGGATATAATGTATTTGATTGACAACTAGCCTTAATCGAAAGTTCTCTCTCGTTATCGGAAGGGGTAATTAACTATAGGGGCTTGCGCCTATAGGAAACCAGAACTCAGATCATAAAGTCCTCGCAAAAATGAGGGCGAAATTTCTGGGTATTGTCTTATCTACAAACCCATTTGCCTTCCAAAATTTACTCTGGAATTTAATACGTTAAAACTCATATTGCTCATAGACGAACTGCATTGTTCAATTGCTGATATATTCATTGCAGATTTTCTGTTCTTTCCCTTAGGTGAGCTTTCACATTGCAAGTTTCTTGCTCGTGCCCATAGGCCCATTGATGTTAGCATTACAAGTCTTTTGCTTTTCCCATAGGTAGATTGTTGTGCATTGCAAATTCACTATTGTTGTTGGAGAAGACTGTAGTGAAGTGCACGGTGGAGGCTGTAGGAAGGGCATTTGGTTGGGTGCAGACATGATAGGGAATGGAGTTCAGGTAGTGCAGTGGAGATTCGGCCAAGTGAAATGAGTAGTGGGATTTGTTTTTGTGAAGTTGTTGTGCAGGGAAGGTAGGAGCGGTTAGGTGGATTTCCATAGATGGAGTTGAAGGCCTGCTGTCTTGGGGCTTCTGAACAGGGAGGAGACGGGAGCTGGGAAGAGAAGCAGCTTTCTATTGGCTGGAGGGGAGAAGGTTGGTTGAAGTGTTCTAGGGAGCAAAGGGAACAAGGGGTGGAAGGGTCGAGGATGGGAGGAGCTTTGGTTGCGTGTGTGTAGGTCAGATGAATGAGTAAGAGTTCACGTGGATAGGGGCTGGGAGTTGTAGTTGCTGCTATTGGGTTCGGGTAGATGAGGAAGTCCACGGTGTTGTCAGAGCAGGGAGGAACAGAGAGCTCGGACTCTTGCTGGGGTGCGAACAAGAGCGCAGGAGGAGGATCTCCTGCCTGTATGGTGGCTTTGAAGGAGAAAAGTGACCTGGGTTTCTCTGTGTGAAACAGAAGAGGGAAGGCAGGAGACATGCTGATGGGAAAATTTCGAATAGTGGAGATCTGTGTGAGTGAATATTGGACCATAGAATTAGGATAGATTTTACTTATTTTTTCTTTATTTTTTAAAGCCAGCCAGAGGTTATGGAGGAGCTGAAGTTATAGGATGCGTAGGGATTCGACTAACAGAGATTTTGGCAGTTGGTTTTTACAGGATAAGAAACGTCTAGAATAGGATATTATAAGAAAGGTTTTTTTATCGTTATATATATAATATTAAAAATTTAATCAAAATAAGAGAAAAGAAAATGTAAATTAATGCCTCAGTAATCTATTATTATTTTCACGCCTCGTTTTACGTGTCGTCGCCTAAAAACTCGTGTTAATTTCTCCTTTTCGCATTGTGCTTTGACTCAGATAATATTATAGCAATTTCTGGGTATTCTTTTCCAGGCACAACGGTAAAGTATGTTTTGTAAATGGGCAACATTCGACCAACGATGTGCAATGTAGCATTTGTAGTTCGTCAATTTTTATTGTCTTCGCTCAAATCGATTGTTAGGGATTCTTCCTTAGATAATTTTGATGCCTTGAGAATATCAGTGCAGTCCGCTTTGCAATCCAACATCATTTGAATTGTTTTATGTAGTGTTGTGCTTACCAACTGTCACTTTTTTCATCATTATTCGATCAAGTCATGCACTAGTGACTTTTTCTTTTGGCAAATCTTGTGTCCTTAGTGCATCGGTGCAATCCGTTTTGTAATCAAATACGTTTGCATAGTTCTGATCACGATCGGGCACTTCGCTTGCCACGTACAACCTTGTGTTAGTCGATTGTAACTTGTGTCGCTTTTGCTTGCACCTATTTTGAAATACATAAGGAGGTCAACAGTTGTATTCTACAATCATTTTAATTTCTTAATGACTTTCTGTTCAAATCACATGTCTGTAGCTTACCGTAAGAAATGTTTCCATTCAGATATAGTGTGCACTCTCATTGATGAAAGAAGTTTATAAAGATATTGAGAATGATGTTTTAAGTATTGATCCGTTGATCAAACTGATGACTTGACGAAATTTTATTTATCCTTTTGATGACAGCTATAAATGTCTTGAAAATAACATCCTAGTTTGGATGGAATTATTTAATGATATTAAATGTACCACACATTATGCAATTGAGCAACATGAGACATGTTTGTAACACTTCATATAAGATTAACCAAAAACTAGTAACGTATTTTTCCTCAGTTGTACAACAAAGCTTTGTTGAAATAAACTTTCTTCATGGTATTGTAACTTAGTATGAGTGTAAAGAGGGATTTACTTCTCTTACACAAACTTGCGGCGGTAAATATTACTTTCTTACTATAAAATGTGCCTGCAAAGTAATTACCTTGTTATGTATGTCGTGATTGTTCAAATGATTTTTTCAGGATATGCGGGAGCTTTTTAGTTTGCCACCACAGGGATTTGACGTTTCCTTAACACAAAAGCAGCTGTATGAGGAGCATGATCAGCAACACACTTTGTATGTGCCCCTTTAATCTCTTCAATCTCTCTTACCAAACAACACACCAGGCCTTAGAGCTTCATTGCTAAATAACTTTTATGTTCCCATTCAACTTGGATAGGCTACTAAGTTCGTATATCTTTCTCTGATGCCATAACTAATATTTATTTCTTGAATCATAATACCTATTATGTCTTGTTAATATAAGTTTTGCTTCTGTGCCATTTAGCTTCATATATTCAATCTCTTGTCATAATAAAATGGATGTTGTGTTTTCTATATTCCACATAGCAACCTATATGTTGTCCCCGACTATTCAACAACTATTTCAAATTGAAGTTTATGACACAGCCGGTGGTGTCAATTTCTGTGTAATTTAAAACTTAAACTGGCAAAGTTTCGAACTAAAAAATATTACAATGCGTAGAAATTGTACTTCCTTTTTTTAATAAAAATAATAGATTTCAATATAATATAATGTTTCTAAAATGATGGTCCAACTAACAAGCAATTCTATTTGATTCTATGCACTAATTTAAATCATAACATGCACATACTATCAAGTAGAAGGTAACTTGAACATTCCAATCATTTTGTCATATTAGAGATTAAATAAGATATTCGTTTTCGTCATTTCTTAAATAGAATCAACAAAAGTTTGTAAATAATTAAAATAGTGTTATAGAAAATGTAGAAGAAAGGTGCAAATCATTTTTATCATAATTTGACACTAATACTTATGTTCATGCCCTGAGCCCTCCTACTTGATATTTCATTACTCTCCCCTTCGGCTACCACTGGGCAGAGAAACCCCATTCTTTATGTGGTAGTGGAGAAACTCTATACTTGTCTCTTCCTCTCCAAACAGGAAGTTACTCTAGCCTACCAACTATCCAAAAAGTTGCTATATAAACTTTTCTGAAATTTCACAGATCCCTTACAAGAGTATATCAGCTCTTACAATAGCCACAATAACTAATATGGAGGATATACGGTGTAGCAGAAGGAATAAGATAAACAAGTGCACAAACTAAAGAAAAAGGTTACAAAGGGGTTTTCAAATCAAAGAGAAAAGTTTTTCACATATATTCTTCTCCCATATTTCATGCTGATTTTCGCTCTCTCTATTGTCACCCACATTTTAGGGTTTGAAAAAATATATATTCATATTAAGTTTTATTAGATCAAAACTCTAATTTTATGAAAATGTTATGTAAGATCGTACAATATGATCAATACAATTTGAATCACATCTCATCACCAGTAATTCCTGGTGCTTAATTGGATTAATTTAGAAAACCTATTGTATGATACAATTCACATCGTGTAGCATGATCTGTTCAAAAATTGAATCAATCTAATAAAGATAATCAATTAGGCAGCTTAGCCATTCAAACTAACCTGGATTATATGGTATGATCTACATTTAACATTATAAGTAGTTTAGTTTTGAATTCATGAAATTAATGCAAATTGATTTTATTTTGAATAAAAAATCAAGGTAGATTGTACAATACAATTTATGTGGTAGAGGTTTTTCAAGAATGTCTAGCAAGCGATCATGAGATGTTGGAGCATAATCTATATTTAGTCAACGAATGATCCTCATTTTCAAACGAACGAGGCTGTGGCAGCATATGAGAGATGTTAATATTAAAAGGGCCCCTGAATTGAGAACAACTTATAGTTCACAATCATTTAAAAAAATAAGAAAAATGGGTTTGGTGCTTCAAAAAATCAAAATGTAATTTAAGTATAATTAATTACTTTATTGTATTATTAATTTGTTATTTTACCTTAAATCGCATTGAATTCAATGATAATTGAGGAATATGTGAAAATGTTGTAATTGAATAAGATTTTGAATATGACATTAATAATACCTAATCCAAAAATGATAGAATGACATATGAGGTCTAGGGTGAAGAACATGAAAGTGAGAATGAAACATTCATGGATAAAATATGACTAAAATTTTTGAAATTAAAAGTAAAATTATTATTTTTATTATTAAAAAAATATTTTATAAATTTTTTATAGAAAAATTATAATTACTTGAAAATTATATTAATAAATGATTAATTAAAAATAACTAAAATATTCTTACATTTAACACTATAACACTAACATTAAATGCTAGGATAAAAAAGATCCTATTTTAAAGAGCTGGTGAACCAAATTGGTCCCTAGAAAAAGTTGAGACTATTTTGGTCCCTCAAAAAGTTGAGGGGTCATTTTGTTCATTTTTTCTTTTTATTAGATATTTGCTTGAGCCTTTGATTGCTAGAGTTACTATTATTTTTTAAGCTAAAGTTTAATCAACTTATTTTCTTGATCTTTATAATATGCTCTTTAATTTCGTACTAGTAAAATGTAATGCAAAAAAAAAAAAAAAAACATAGAGAAAAACAAGAGAAGCAAAATCACCATAAAAATTCAAGAATCTAATAATAGCAAGGGCAAATCATCAAAAGACGACGTGACGCTAATCATCATAAAAACCAATTCTCTGAAACAAAAAAGTATAAATTGTTTGACATTAGTGTAGAGAACAATGTAAAACTGTGAATAAAGTTATTACTAATGTTATTTGTTTTTGAATGCTAATTGCTATGGATCATAAAGAAGGGTTGCGCCAATAATAAAATACAAATGAAAAGATAAAGCTGGTGACCGAGGTGATATTAAAAGTATAAAACAAGAAATTCTAGAAAGCTTATCTGCACATATATTTTATGTGAGCAGATCATCTAAGGTGACTTTGTCTAATCTCATCTGCCATTGGAGCTACTCCAACCTTTTCATGTGTATGCTAGTTATTAATTATAATAATTTGAAGTCAATTTTTTTCCTTTCATATGATTTACAGCATTTCAAACTAAACTAAAAATTTTCATTCATCTTGAAAATATTCACATATATCTTGAAATAAAATATATGATGTATAATAAATATTTAAAGAAAAAGTTTACAAATCATTCTATACAAAAAAAAAAAAAAAAAAAAAATTAAGTACCTAACAATGGCTGCTTCTCTTATGTTGTAAATAAAGCTCCTTTTTCCATTTACACCATCCACAATTTTCCTAAATTTTTTTATCAATTAATTGGATGAGTATAAAATATGACTTAGTGGGTATATCATAATTTTAAATCATAGGAACTTAAATGAAAATTAAAATTATATGCATATTTGTATCATATATAAGAAGTAAAAAAGATGGCTTTTCAGCTCAATAACTATTATGATTATAAATATTGCTTAGAGTTATGTACAATAATGGAATAGTAATCGGCTTGACATAAGAGCTTGAATATATGCTAAGTGTCACGACCCGACCCGGGGGATCGAATTAACGAGGCGGAACAGATGGTTGGACGGTAAAATCATATTCTAAATCTATTTCCAATTCATTGAAAGAGTCACTAAACATCAAAAATATAAACCGATATAAAATAACTTAAATACCTTTCTTTTGGTGCCTCACGTCTACGGTACACATTATCGCCTCTTCTACTCATTTGGATTAAATTAAATTTACCTGAAAGAAAAGTTAGAGAAACAATAGTAAGTCAAAGCTTAGCGAGTAACACATGCTTCTAATCTACAGTAATTCAAGGCAATAGAAGAAATATGTTTTATGTCACTTTTCATTTCACATTTTCAATTTTTATTTTATTTAAACATATTATTTATTTCATCAAGTCCTTAAATGTATAATGTTATGCATAAAACATAAATACATATCATATCATAATCAGTTTACATTTGTCATATCTGTATTTATGTCTTTCTCATTTTCATATATAGTACAATCGTCACAGGAGCCACAATCTAGTACCAATGAATATACTCTTTTATCATTTCTTTTTCCATAACCTTTACCATTTTAACGTGCACGGGTATAGCATCCTCATCTAGTATCATAAGGAATGAGCTCCATCATTTGAACAAGCACATGCAATCATTCTATATATCAATCATATCATTCTTATATCATAATACTTTGCTTTATATTATGCTTTATACAGTAATTTATAGTAATTAATTTAATATGCGAGAGATGAATCATTGAATAATTAGCAATGCAGTAAAGTAAAATAACTTGCAATAACAATTAAATAAAATTTTAGAAACAATACAATTACCGTAACATAGAAACATGCTTACTCACTTGATTCGAGGGATTTGGTTTCTACACTTGTTCTCCTTCATTCGATGTCACAACGTTTACACCTATAAGAAATAATTTTATATTCATAAGCTAAAGTTAATAATCTTAAATTTAATTCTTCTTCTTCTATAAAATTACCAAAGGCTCTCTCTCTCTCTCATTTTCTATAATTTCACTATTTACTCAAATTAACATATTGCTAATGCATAAATTAATTTAAAATAAACCTAATTTTCGAATTTATTCAAAAACCCTAATTTTGGAAATATAACTTTCATTATATTTTCATGTTAAAGCACACCCTTTATTTAAATAATAGTTAGAGAATATTTATTTTCGGATTTATCTTAATTAAAAATTAGGAAAAATAATATTTTGTGAAAAAACCCTAATCTCTACCATTAGAAATCCTCCTATGATCATTTGGAACATTACTCCTTAGGAATCTTATTTTGGGTTTTACACTAAGCTTATCATATTATAACCCATGATGCACCGACACTTCTCATAAAAAAATCGTGCATATTCTTTCAATAATTGACGTGTTTGCGTCTTGTCATATCTATGTCGTCGTGTCCGTGCCTGTGTCCATGTTATTGCATAGGGGTGTCAAAATGGGTGACGGGTCATGTTCGAGTCGAACCCGAGTTGTCCCGGATCTAAGCGAGTCAACCCGAACCAACCCGATTTTACAAACGGGTTAGGATTTCGAACCCGAATCCGGCCCGCTCCGGTTGACGGATTGACCCGACCCGACCCGCGACCCATTTGTAAAATGAGCAAAATAGAGGAAATGAAGATGGCGAGAACTAGGAGGCCCTAGCCGGCAACGTCGTGGAAGAGC